TGCCTAGATGAGGCAGTTGAGTGGCGGAGATACTGAATAATCTCCTTCGATCTGAGAAGGGAATCTTAAGACTGAAAGATGAAGTGGGTAACTCCATAAAGTGCAATTATGAAATTTATTGAGGGGAACTTACAGGCAGGATAGGGTTGGGGGAGAAGACAGTCCAGAGGCATTCAAAGCTGTGCTCTGCACTACTTAAAGGGATACAGGGGACTTAAAGGGGCCAAAGCTAAAAACAGATCATGACTACCAGCTAAGAAAAGGATTAGCACTGAAGGGAACACAGTTTTCCTTGCCCTGAGAGCCTCCTGACCATTAATCATATGTGTCAGCAAAAGGCAGTCTTTCAGTTCCTGTGTCAGATGAAGGCAAGGATAAAAGGTGATAGGGAAATTTCCTAGCTTGGGCACCTTCCTTGTGAGTAGGCTAAAGCTCAATCACTCAGAGAGAGGAGTGGGTAGGGCATCTTGGCTGGGGGTAAGATGGAGTTGACCATGCAGAGTCGGTGTGGTTCAGTCATGGAGCAGTTATTAGTAAGCTCTTCATTATGGAGACTTAGACTCACCCAGGGAGTAACTTCAACAAAGGGAATATTGATATGGAAACCGAAATCTGAGAATTATAGAAAAAGTCAAAATAAACTCACTATATTCCAAAATCCCTTTCTGTAATATTAAAGTTCTACGCAATATAGCTATTTTGATGCTGATAGAGCTATAAAATATATTGAAATGCCATATCCTTCTAGAAAAACATATCCAGCCATGACAATAGTAGCAAAAATCTGTGTTTGGCCAATTCAAGGTCTAGTAAGTGACAGAAGAGAAATTGTTCCCACCCACAAGAAGAGAATACTTGTCCCCACCCACTCTTCAAATGCTTATATCATAATTTGAGGCATGTGTTTCCATGTTACTCTGCATGGCAAAGGATTTCACAGTTGAGATTAAGGTGAAAGACTTTAGTGGAAAGGTAAGCGTAGAAAAAAAATCTTCCCACCAATAAAGGGAGAAGCAAAAAAAAAAAGAAATAAAATTTGCCATAGCCTTGGCTCTTGGTGGAAAATAACCATAAAAACAAATAGCGTCTGCTTAATAGTTCATGCTGCTTCTGCTGCTGCTGCTAAGTCACTTCAGTCGTGTCTGACTCTGTGCGACCCCATATACGGCAACCCACCAGGTTCCCCCGTCCCTGGGATTCTCCAGGCAAGAACACTGGAGTGGATTGCCATTTGCCTTCTCCAATGCATGAAAGTGAAAAGTGAAATGAAGTTGCTCAGTCGTGTCTGACTCTCAGCGACCCCATGGACTGTAGCCCACCAGGCTCCTCCATCCTTGGGATTGTCCAGGCAAGAGTACTGGAGTGGGTTGCCATTGCCTTCTCCGATAGTTCATGACCATTGGCCAAATAATTTTCAGAGAAATATGAGAATAAAAAATTGAAGCAACATGGACGAACCTAGAGATTGTCACACTGAGTGAAGTAAAGTCAGAGAAAGACAAATATCATATGATTACCACTTACTTGTGGAGTCTTTAAAAGATGGTACAAATTATACTTCTCTAAGAACTTGTCCATTTCTTCCAAGTTGTCCATTTTGTTGGCATAGAGCTGCTGGTAGTAGTCTCTTATGATCCTTTGTATTTCAGTATTGCCTGTTGTGATCTCTCCATTTTCATTTCTAATTTTGTTAATTTGGTTCTTCTCCCTTTGTTTCTTGATGAGTCTTACTAACGGTTTGTCAATTTTGTTTATTTTTTCAAAAAACCAGCTTTTAGCTTTGTTAATTTTTGCTATGGTCTCTTTAGTTTCTTTTGCATTTATTTCTGCCCTAATTTTTAAGATTTCTTTCCTTCTACTAACCCTGGGGTTCTTCATTTCTTC